TTTGCAGTACGTTTCTGTATTTGGTTGCGTTGTGAGTATTTGCAGTACGTTTCTGTATTTGGTTGCATTGTGTGTATTTGTAGTACGTTTCTGTATTTGGTTGCATTGTGTGTATTTGTAGTACGTTTCTGTATTTGGTTGCATTGTGTGTATTTGTAGTACGTTTCTGTATTTGGTTGCATTGTGTGTATTTGTAGTACGTTTCTGTATTTGGTTGCGTTGTGAGTATTTGTAGTACGTTTCTGTATTTGGTTGCGTTGTGAGTATTTGTAGTACGTTTCTGTATTTGGTTGCGTTGTGAGTATTTGCAGCACATTGTCAAACTGATGAAGATGTTTTTTTAATTTGTTGGTGTTTTTTTTTCTATTTTCACATGTTTTGTTCAGTTGCAGCATGTTGAGCTCTCTCGGCCAACATAAAGCTGATGCTGATGAATAAATGTCTTCTGAAGCAAAAAATGTATAAATAGGTAATAGGCAATAAATAAACAAATATTTAAAACATGCTGTCAGAAACTCAGTCAGAAGCAATGGTTTGTAGTTAAAAAGTTTAAAATATTATTAATTTACTCATTTAATTTTAATTTAAATACACACCTATAGTTTTTGCTTTAAAAGACATTGATTCATCATCATCGTATGGATTACCATGTTCGCTTTGCGTGGTTTTTGAAGCATCATTTTTGAGGGTCCCATCCACTTGCATTATACGGACTCACAGAGATGTATTATTTGTCTTAACATCTCATTCTCCATATCTGTTCATATGAAGAAAGAAAGTTATAAACATCTGGGACAACATGAGGATGAGTGAATTTGAATGTTTTAGGTGGAGTACCCCATTGAATGGTTCACAATGGTTCTGCGTGGAAACAAAGGTTATTTTGCATAACATGTAGCTAGTTAACAATAAATATCTATTTTTTTGAGGTTGTAAATAAAACAAAGATTACTGAAATACATTTTACAAAAAAACGTTCAGCCTTTCTACTTCAAAATGTTATGTTTAATTAATGTGTTACTTGCAGTTTCTCTGTAATCATTTGAGAAAAGTACTAGTGATTTGTGAGTGAAAATTTTTCATGCACAGCACACTAATGTTAAGCTTCAGGCCTCAATCATTCATTCAATGATTTACACTAGTCAATGTAACAGTTAGTTTACAAAAGCAAACCTGACTTATTATAATTGGCTTACATATAATTAAATTACATGTTTATTACAGTCAGATTTATTTACTTGCCAAAGCCAGTGTTTTTCGGTCTTGGGGCCTGATTATGGATTTAAACCAACCATGTGAGCGGTATGAAGTTTTTTCTCAAGACGCACTCGGCCATATGCTGCAGGTACTGCGGGTGTTACAGCGAGTTGCAGCATTTCCCACAATCCCCGCAATCATCACAGATGCTGTCTGTCTCCTCGGCGCGGCTCTGTTTATATTGTGTGTGAACTGGCATTTGATTTCCTCCCTCTCTGTGTTTCTCTCACTCTCGCGCTGACATCCTCTTCCACGCTGCCCCCTGTCACGGCGACCAGGCGGCCATGAATATTCAGTGATCAAGACAGTATCTCTTCCCGCTGTGAGGCGGCGCTCCGGCCAGGGGCTCCCCAGAATGCACCCCCCACCCCAACACACACTCGCTCTTGTCCCGGCGCCGAGCATTTGGGCCCTGTCAGCGGCGGCCACCCTCAGGACCCTTCAGGCCAGAGCGGCGACCTCCGTGTCCATTCGGGCCGGGCCGGGCTCCAGGCGCGCAGGCCTGCCTGCGAGCCCATCTGTGTGGGGTCAGAAGTCACGGCGCGCCCTGGCAGGAGCCGCGGTGCCAAGAACCACGTGCCCACTGCCCGGAACAGTGGGAACCCGCTTTAATTGGCAAAACTCGACAGGACAGAGTGTGGGCACACACACACACACACACACACACACCAGATTCTGAGAGTCACAAAAACATACCTTGAAATTTATGCATGTACTAATGGCTTATTTTTCAATCAGAAGATCATATTAACCAAACAACCATTATAGCCAAACAGATTCATTGCAAGAGTAAAACTAATGTTTAGAAAATAATATGTAATGGCAGATGGGAGTGTTGAGGAAACCTGTGTGAGAATAATTATTATTTTGTATTTGGTTTGCAGCGTATGGTCCTGGTTTGGTTACACTTTTATAATAAGGTTTCATTTGTTAACATTAGTTAATGCACTGAGAGTAAACATGAACAAATTATGGAAGCTTGTTTCCACCGGGATGAAAAAAAAATTCTCACAATTCTGACTTTTTTACTGCCATTCTGAGGGAAAAAACTTATAATTGCGAGATTTAAACTCACAATTGCAAGAAAAAAATTGAGATAAAAAGTCTGTGCTTTTTTATTTTTTAGTCTGCAGCAGGGGAAAAAACTCAGAATGGTGAGATATAGTCAGAAATCCAAGAATAACAGTCAGAATTTTGAGATAAAAGTTGCAATTATCTTTATTTTTTATTCCATGGCAAAAACAAGCTTCCATAACAAATAATGAAGAATACTATTTTTATTAACTAGCATTAACAAAGATTAATAATTGATAATAATGGATTAATCATTGATAGTTCAAGACATTTTAGCAAATGCATTAACTATTGTTATCAGCAGTGCTGGGGAAAGTTAACTTTTAAAAAGTAATGCATTACAACATTGCGTAACTCTATAAAAAAGTAACTAATTACGTTAGTTACTTTTTATGGAAAGTAATGTTGCGTTACTTTTTAAATCTGGACAGGGCTTGCTTGTTTGTTTTTAAAATAAAAAAGTTATATTTCTGGCAAATATAAAAGCCTTTCACACTAAAAGTGAAATGAATAAGCCTCAGGCTGAAGGGAAAGTACAGTAGAATGCAGAAGAGGACATTTCAACACACTTCAGCAATAAACAAACTAGGGATGCACGATATATCGGCCACCATATCGGTATCGGACGATAAATGCTCATTTTTTCTGTTATCGGTATCGGCCTGATAAGAAAATTTGGCCGATATCTTAAAGCCGATAAATAATGCATTATTTCCTTCAGAGACACTTCAGATGCGCGCTGTTCGTTTGCAGCCTTTTGTGCAATTGTACGTTGTAATATTGTGTTTATTTGATGTATATCTGATTTATCTCATATAGAATGCGTTTGGTTAAGTTAAAAAGAGCGCTTCAGTTTACCGGTGATCATCTTTAGCTCAGCGCACGCAGCTCAAACAGCAGTGCACAACATTAATAACTATGATTGGGAATGTCATGTATATAACATTCTAATGAGAACATTATTATAATAAAACATTGTGAATTCTTTGGGTTTAGTTGCCGTGTTTCAGCGCGTTGTTATGGGAAGAGCGCATCCACAACAGGAT